AAAAAACTCTTTGGCATTGGGCACGTCACACGGCCCGACCTCTGTCTGCATGCGGAAGACCATCAGTACTGGAAAATTGGAGGTGTTGAAGCTGCCATGGGTTCATTCATCCTCGCTCCAGTCAATGGCCTCCTTCACATATTTGAAGCCCAAGCCACCAAGCATCAGCACAACTGGGAGGGCACCTGGTTCATGGTTGGGATAGTACTAAAAATGTAAATTTAGGGTTTAAGGTTTGGGGCTTAGGGATTTTTCTCCCTTGTTGGGTTTAAGTACCCAAAAACATGCAAAATGCTACCCAACTATGGCAAAGAAATGCTACAAATCCTTTTAAAGGAGCCCCAAAAAGGGTTACCCCCTCCTTCGGAAACCCCCAATTGTCCGCTATGACAGAGGCACCTGCTTGCCATGGAAACCAATCGACATACAAGACCCCCCTGGCCATGAGCGTGGCCGCCAAGGGGATAGAGCCGATGGCCAAGAGCCTCAGGTGCTGAGCTCCCTTGAGGGAAACAGGTTAACCGTTAACCCTTGGGTTTAGGGTTTAGAGTTTAGGGTTTAGTTAGGGTTTACGGTTCAAACCCTAAACCCTAAACCCTAAACCCTGAACCCTCAAGACACAATAAATAAAAAGTTGGATGTGGTATCAGTCTGAGTTTCCAAGTTATTTGTCTAAACAGCTGACAAGCCGAGTTTAAGTCTGCGACCAAATGCTCAAATTACTTCAAATTCTACTTAAACCTCTCGCCCCGCCCCACCCTTCCCCCCCTCCGCCCCCCTCCCCTTCCCTCCCCCACCCTCCGCCCCCCTCCCCTTCCCCTCCCCCGCCGCCCCCCCCTCCCCTTCCCCTCCCCCACCCTCCTCCCCTCCCTTCAACACGTTTCGGTGAAATCATGTCGGTCAACACTTATTGGGACCCAAACCCTATACAATTTCTATAAACCCTGAACCCCAGTTGGGTTTTAAGGAGTTTTATACCACACCCCCTAAAAGTTTCACGCCGAAGGAGCTGTGCGTTGATTACGCTGGTCAGCCGATCTGCGAGCTTCTCTGTCACCTTAGTTGCTCTGAGTTCCTAGGCCCCCAACCCTAAACCCCAAACCCTAAACCCCAAACCCCAAACCCTAAACCCCAAACCCTCGACCCTAAACCTTTAACCAAAAACCCTAAAAACAGACCCCCCAAAAACCCCAAAAAAACGCGTAAAGTGCACTCATTCAGCTACGAAGTCACAGGTGCCAGGGACTTCGATCCGGTTTTTTTCGCCTCGTCTCGCGCAAGGCCCCGCTTGATAAAGGTGGCGGTCACGAAGAAGGATGCAGCCCCAAGGATTGCGGCCAGAGTGAGCTTCAGCCAAAAGATGGGCTCATGCCTAGACTTGTTTAGGGTTTAGGGTTTAGGGTTTGGGGTTTGGGGTTTGGGGTTTAGGGTCTAGGGCCTAGACTGATCTTGGAACCCTAGCCAAAAGTTATAGGTTTTTGCCGCTTTTCTTAGGAATCATCGTACCCAAAATTATATTGAAAAATGATTCTCAAAAATCCCGAAGATGCTGGTAGAACTCCCAGCCCTTGCCGTACTGCGTCACTCGTAGGTAGCCTGTGCCCGCAATGAGCAGGCCCACCAGGCCGTAGAGGCTATCTATGCTCAGCACCTTAGTTGTCCAGTATCCTGGGGGAACTAAGGGTTTAGGGTTTTTGTTTTGCTCCCGCATAGCTGGCCGAACCTAGGGTTTAGGGTTTAGGGTTTAGGGTTTAGGTTAACCTTTGGGATTATAAGGGGACTATACTGCCCCAAAAAAGTTAAAGGTCACCTACCCTGCTACTAGGGCACTGTTTGCTCCTCTTCTTCACTCATGCCAGCCTTGATCATCAAGCGTTCAGCCACGAGGCAGCCAGTGCCTAAGACCAAACCGAGGTAGTGGCCATATGCCGCAAGTGCAGAGAACAAGCCCCCCTGCTCCTGCGCGAATGCAGGCGTTGACAACCTTGGGACGACATGAACCTAAAGGTTGATGGTTCATAGACCTTACCATAATAGGAAGTACAGTAGCATAGGGTATATGACCCCAACTTTAAGGCTCACTTCGTCCCCAAGGAACATGGTCATGGCCACCGCAGCGGCAGGGGCGGCATGTGCGGCCTGGGCAGATGGACTGGCAGCCTCCGGCGATCCTTTGACAAGCCTGGCAGGGGGGACGAACGTCCACTGCGCGGCCCACTGCGCACTTGCGACGCACAGCAGGATCAGCGGCAAGACCCTGCATCTCCCACGTGACCTATGGCCATGGCTCGTCATTGCCCGTCGCTTCACAAGGTACAGAGCCGCAAATGCTGAGATGGGCCGGCAATCTTGAAAAGGACGCTGAACTCAGTCCTGTCATCACAGCATGTGTTTCACTAGCCATTGTCGCGCGCGCTAGCCCTCATGTGCATCTTCGAACCCCCAAAAAGAGGTGCGGCAGTGTGACATGCCGTGATGTCAAGCGAGCCAGGCCCCAAAGAACTTGATATTGTTTTCCCGACCCCCTCCCCGCGCCCGTGCGCCCTCTTCGTGGGCTTGAAGCCAGTTAGGTGCTCCATTTGGTACAATTTGCCACATCACGATGCACATGTTTGGCCCGAAGAAACTCACGGAAGTTCACAAGATTACAGTATACCACCGTATACCACAGTGTTCGGAGACTTTTCCAACTCAGGTAGTCTTATGTGGTGGTTGCAACGTGAACATGGTGATTGCAACGTGAACATGATTGCAGGATCACCACCTTTGAAGCAACTGGGGAGCTTTATGTATCGACAATGCATGCAACTGATGGTTCATCAACTACTATTACTTAAGCACCCCGAAAAATAGAACATGCCTAATCCCCCTTATTACCCTTATAGGGAAGAATGGCTGTTATTCTTGTGGGGTTCTTAAGCAAACAGTAGTTAGGTGCCGTTGCTTGCCTTTCCTTCCCCGGCAGTTCAATGTAGTTCGATGCTTGCGGCCACCTGGCTCAAATGATGGACCTTGACGAAATTTAATGCAAGTGCCTGTGTCGTGTCCCTAAAACCTAACCCTAAACCCTATTATAAACCCTAAACCCTATAAAACCTAACCCTAAACCCTAAACCCTATAAAACCCTAAACCCTATAAAACCCTAAACCCTATAAAGCCCTAAACACTAGACGCCTAGGCCCTAAACCAGCCGCTCACCTCGCGCTAGTTGCGAGTTGGGCCTCTATCGCTGGGTACATCCTTTCATTCTTGCCTGAGCCCTCTACGCCTACGTCGCTTTGAGAATTCCGACGAGCCATGTCTTCTTGCAGGACGCGTTGTCGATGCAACCTCTGTAGCAGAAAGCTGCCTGGCCGACGCAAACCTGATGAAACCTGCAACCAAGTCCCTAAACCCTAAACCTTAAACCCCTGAAATGTCGCCCTCTCATCCCAGGCCCTCATCTTTCTATCGACGTTGACCCTTTGTCCCATTTTGCAGCTAGGGCAACCATGCAGCAGAAGGGAAGTGCGGTGTTTGTTCCCAAGGTGTTTTTGGTCTTCGCCGTCAGAAAGCGCGAAACCCTAAACCCTAAACCCTAAGCCCTACGCCCTATACCCTATAAACCCTAAACCCTAAGCCCTTGCTTCATCAGCGCCAGGCTCAGGCTCCCTTCCCTTCTCGGCGACAAAGGCCTCTAGGGTTTAGGGTTTGGGGTTTAGGGTTTGGAGTTTAGGGGGGTGACTCTCCATACCCACCTGAACCCCTGAAACCCCGAAAAGGTTAGGGTTTAGGGTTTAGGGTTTAGGGTTTGGTGCACTTCCTCACGTACTCGCTCATGCACTCACTCACTCACACTCGCAAACACAAACACCTACGTTGCATTCCCATCCCAATCTTGAAGACCCCACATGCTGCGTAGCCTGCTCTAAGCCTCAGCAGGTGTCGAAAAGCCACGCACAAACGATTAAACCCCAAAAAGCCTCGAGCCCAAAACCCTAGTACCAAAGCCCCAAAAAAGCACAAAAAAAACCCCTCCCCCCCCTCCTCCCCCACCCCCTCCCCCCCCTCCGGCATGTACACATCAGCTGGGCCGCTGCTTCTCCAGCTCCTCGATATGGCCCTGGCTTTGGCGCAGCTGCTCCTGGACTCCAATGCACCTGCGCAGCATGCAGCCCGCGCCGTTTTTTTACAGTACCAGCACCTGACAGCCTTAGAGCCTGCAGCCGCAGGAGAGAGCTTCATCTTGTTTCGGAGTGTTGTCGGCCGGTGTTGGGACTTTTGCAGAAAAGCGTATTCCTTTCCGCACCTTCTTTCGCGCGCCTTTCGCGACCTTTGGAACCACCTCAAAAGGTATAGCCCAGAGTCTAACCGGCAGACACGGACCTTTAGACACTGTTTAACCGAACAACGTCTGTAGGCTCCGCCCCGCGGCGAGCATGTGTGGGCGGCGGAGCAACTGCGAGCATCCTTGCCATTGTGCACAGTTCCGCGCAGCATCCTTAAACACAAGATCTCGAGAGTGGGGCCTCGAGCTCATCCCAGAGATGCTTTGTCCTTCCGAAATCCGGGACATACGGAAGCCCTCAAACTTCCCCAAGACCCCGCGTTGGACCAGCCCAGCTGGCCGACCCAAAGGCAATTTGGCAATTTCTTGAGACTTGAGACTGGAAGCTAAGAACATGGGATCAAAAACTTCTTCCCGCTGTCTTGTAAAACGCCAATGTTCCCAACATGTGTTCCTAGCAATTTGCGGCCGCGCGGCCACGCCTTGAGTTAGCAGGGGGGGGGGGGATCTTGCGGGCGACAATATATTGCGCGTAAGCGTGTGTGTTTGTTTTTGTGTGTGGTTGTGTGCGGCTGTGTGCGGTTGTTGGCGGTTGCTTGCGGTATGTGCTCGGTTGCATGTGGATGCGTGCGGTGGCGTGCGGTTGCAAAGGCCAACAAGACCCACGCAGCTCCGAACTTTCCCCGACGCGGGCCTGGAGCATGTTCAGGCGCTCGCAGTGCCAGGCGTTCAAGTCGCTCTCCTTGGTCCGTTAGCGATGCGGACGCTCGGATTGCAAGGAACGCGGCTCTCTTACCTCTGGAGATGAGGCACGTCGAACAACCTATATAGACGAGGTGCAGAGGCAGTCTCACCCTCTGTGGCATTGCGAGCCCCCTTGCCAATGCGAACAGTTCAGCGCGGCATCCTGAAACGCAAGAGATCAAATTGGGGCCTCCAGGTCCTCGTGCAAATCGAGGTGCAAATCGAGGTCCTGCCGAAATCCGGGACACTTCCAGAAGACTATGGCTACGGAAGCCATCAGGCCGGGAGCAGGTCGAATAGGACGATCCCTAAGAATACAAAAGGGCTTGCAGGCCCTTCGCGTATCATCTCAATCTCCCATGTCTGACATTGCTCTAGACTGCGAATTTGAGCTGTCATTCCCATCTGAACAGCGAACGTCTATGTGGCTATACCTATACCTTCAAGCCAGCTTCTTGGCACACAGATCACCCCCTTTCCCTGGCGTTGATCTCACTTATGCCTGTCTCTCTTCACGGGGATTTGCCAACTCTCCTCGGCGAGTTCAAGAATCTCCTCTAGGCAACGTGGGTTCTTAAGATTAGGCCTGTGAAGCTTATAAGAGATCCCCTCATTTCCTAGGGGAAAGGACTACAACGCCGCCCGCCGCGAGACCATAGACTTCCTGGCCGCCCATGGCCAGCGTGGTGCACGACAGACTTTTTGGGTGTCTTGGGATGCGAGTTTGATGGCCAGCGTGGTGCACGACACGTGGTGCACGACAGACTTTTTGGGTGTCTTGGGACGCGAGTTTGATGGCCAGCGTGGTGCACGACAGACTTTTTGGGTGTCTTGGGATGCGAGTTTGATGGCCAGCGTGGTGCGCGACAGACTTTTGGGTGTCTGGGGATGCGGGTTTGATGGCCAGCGTGGTGCACGACAGACTTTTTGGCCCCCGCTACCGGAGCTTTTCCTCAGGAGGCCCAAAAAAGCGTAATACTTTTGAGGAGTGCTACAAGTCGCATGGAAGCCTCAACAAGAGTGACTTCTCGGGCGCGGCCGGGCCGAAGGCCTTAGTCAGGGCACATGGATTCGGGGAACCGCGGGGGTTTTACTGAATCTAAGGTGCTTCAACTTTGCACCCTAGACCCCAAATCTTAGAACTCTATCCTAAACCAAGCCACAGCCTTGGCTTAAACACATGGCTAGACATGTGTTGAACAATTTCTGGTCATGCTCACAGCCGCATCTCGACCCCCGAGCAGTCCCAACGGTGAAACATGAAATCAAGTGCACACCTGGGCTCCTACTTCTGAGGGCCGCGCAGAACCAGACTAAACCACTCTGGGACACTGCAAGCTCAATTGGCTCACAGGCTTAGGGCAACGAGAAGCTTATGTTCCCAAAAGCACCCCACACTCGCAAGTTTAAAGTGTGCGATGTAGGGCTGACGGTTCAGGGTTGAGGGTTGAGGCTTTCGGTTTCAGATGCACAGAGTTGCCAAACATGCTAACAAACACCGCGATCACGACTGAGCTCAAAGCGATGTAGGAATGTTGTAGTGCAGGAACGTGACTTCACCTTTCAGAGGGGGCGATGTCTCCGAGGCAAGGGTATGGTTTGGGTCCAAGCAGGGGATTAAGAGTTGGTCTGACTGCGATACACCAAACCCCTCCCGCCCATTCCGAACTCTGAACCCCAAACCCATTCATACACAGGCGAGGAGTGCAAACTCGAAGGTTGCTTGCTTGTGATTTAGGCTTCGGGTTTAGGTTTTAGATTTTAGGGTTTAGGGGGCGTTTTAGGGTTTAGGGGGCGTTTGTGCACAACCGGATCTAGCACTAAACCCTGAGCACTTGCATGGTTATGTAGGATACCTACTTAAAACCCTCAAAGGGTTTTGTTTGGGGCCTAAGCCTTAAGACCTGGTCCTTTTTGCCCCGAGTGTATTTCCGGCACAAAACGCTAAGAAACTAAACGCCAACCCCAAATAAGATCCTGAGCCCTTGTCGGGGGGTTTAGCCTAGCCTCGTAGGGTTGGGATTTGGGGTTTTGGGCTTTAGGGTTGTAGGCCGCAACAAACCCTAAACCCTCAACCCTGAACCCTAAACCCGTGGAACCCTCAACCCCAACTCCCTGTCTGTCCCTATGCGTTACTCTTTCGTAAAGGCCCTTTGCGAAAAACACTGGAGGCCAACATGCTTCAGAGGGTTCATGGCTGCATGTCTTCCACAACCAGGGTTTAGGGTTTAGGTTTAGGGTTTAGGGTTTAGGGTTTAGGGTTTAGGGTTTAGGAAGGGCCCG